GAGCAGGAGGGGCACTCGCATGTCACGCACCACGTAAGCTTCGACTTCAAAGCTCACCAACACCCCGTCCGTCGCTCTTGCGTACATTGTGAACCTCGTATATCCCAGGACCTTGGCTTCTCCCGTTAATGCGTACAACTTCATCCGGATTCCTTCTCGCGGTTTGGGCAGTCCAGGAACCGATTTGAAGTATTCTTCCGAGATCAAGGTGATATCGGCGCCCGAGTCGAGGCGCCCCTTGATAGCCTGCGCTCCGGGAGTTCCAACAGTCACTCTGATGTGCAGAGCTCGAACCCCTAGGGACGCGAAACCAGGAGGGTTGGAGCGCGCCTTCACGGCTCTAACAACCCTCTCCTTGTTCGTTCCTTCCTCCTTCCCTTTCCTTTCCTCGTCGTCGCTTTCCGAATCCGATCCCCCTTCTGGATTTTGTTCAAGAGGCTTCGGAGTTGACGCCCCTACGACATTCGCCTCTTTAACCTCGAAGGAATCCCTCTCCCCTGAGGGCGGAATCAACTCTCTTTCAGAGGACTCCCGCCCGTACTTGTGATTTTTTCCAGCGAGCGATGCTTCGAGGAAGCTTTAGCTTCCTCACTCCTCCGTCTTCCTCACTCTCTCGCTCCTTTCCCTTCTCCAGGACTCGCCGTTCCCTTTTCCTCTCTTCGAATTTTTCCCGACGTCTTCCATTCCGATGTAACTTATGCGGGACCCCCGTGGATAGCGCGCTTACTGGATGAACTTCTCTCTTGAAAAACGGAGACTTAATCGCGCTTAAATACTGGGCAATAGAGGTGTCATTCATAAGTTCTACAGTCATAGTTAGGAAGGCGGCGCGATCAGCTTCTTCTACTTCGTAGGGAACTTCGAGGTCCAGCATGTTCGCCTCTCGAAGAGCTTCCCAGGCGCCGTAGTGAGGACAGTTGCGAGCAAAATGATTCGGGCTGGTGCAAATATAGCACTCTCCGTTGGGCTTACGTTCGCTGGAGACATCGTCTCGACGGTCGAACTTGTGCCCTTTCACTGTCTTGCCCTTTGGCCAGTCCGGCCTACTAATCCCAGTTCTCGAGCCTCCATTGGCGCGGGAAGATTGAGTCGAAAACTGAGCTCCCGTCCGGTACGCCACGTTCGCTTCGTGTTCGGGATTTCTGTTCGTCCCGAATTCGCCTGAATCCGCACTGGGGTCGAGGTCCTCGCGATCAATGGCATAGGCGCGACGAGAAGGATTAGTTCGACGCGAGTAGTAGTTTCCAAGAGTATTGAGCTTGACGGCGGTTTCCCAGTTTCCCATGAGAGTAGGATTATGACGGCGCGAAGCGGCGAAGAGAGCGAAGAGGTTGTTGTAATTCTCCGAGTTAAGAGTCCCCTTCCACACGCTCGGAGCGGTGCGGAGGACCTTCTCAACCACTTCCGCTCCATCGTCCAGTCCCGGCCACAGGAAGATGTAGTACTGAGTGCGCCGTTGGAGGAAGTCGATAGGGTTCTCGCTTTCATGACCCCGCTGGCGGAAACGCATTTCTTCGAACTCGCTCATTCGCTCTTGAAGCCAGAGATCGTTGAGGAAATGAGTTTGAATGGCTCGCAAGAGAAGCGTCCAGTTCTGGCTGACGTAGTTTCGGACGGTGACAGTCAAGGTGGTCCACCACATTTCAGCCCTGTCGGTGAACTTCATGGGGGCGATCGCTCCGAGGTCGATGGCCATTTGCGGGGAAAGGCGGACTAACTCAGCCATCTTACAGAGGTACGCTATGGCTGATTTGCCATGTCCATCCCATTCCGGCACGAGCTGAAGATTCAGCTTGCGATTTATCTGCCAGTCCTGCCAGTATCCTCCGGCGGGGGGAGGTCCTCCGCCATCTGGCGGGCCTCCACCTCCGTAGGGCGGTCCACCGCCTCCTGCGCCATCACCACCTCCTGCACCACCTCCGCCTCCCGGTCCACCACCTAAACCGCCAGCACCACCGCCGAAGGGAGGTCCTCCGCCGTTCAGCGGGCCTCCACCTCCATTGGGCGCTCCTCCACCTCCACCGGAGGAGGACCAGCGCCGTCAGGCGGGCCTGTTCCTCCAGGGGCGCTTCCGCCTCCATTATTCTGGTCAGGGGGAAGGGTAGGCAGGTAGTTAGTGAATTGGTGCGAGCTCCACGAAGTTAAGGGTGGCACGGAAGGGATAGTCGCTCGGAATTGCTGAAGTCGAGAGGGCTCAGTCGGGCCTTTCGTCGCAAGTTCCTGTAGGGAAAGTTCTTGCAAGGAGGTTCCTTGGATGAATCGAGGCGCCGTTGCTTGCAGAACGACGTTAGCCGAGTCAGCGGTGGTTCCAGGCATCGCCCATGAAGTGGGCATGGGACCGATGCCCGGTAGGACGCTGATCAAACCGGTATGCACGCCGGAGAGTGATGGGGGAACGTCCGCCCATTTCACGGCGGGCTTAGAGACGACGGAGGCGGACTCAACTCCAGTCAGAGGAATCTGCCTCGCGTCGTCACCCTTCCGCTCACTCTTACTCTTGTAATAGTTGGCGCGGATATCAGTTGACTCGACTCGTTGGTCCCGGAGAAAGGCGTCCTTGACGGCGCTGTCGTACACTCGCGCCGCATAGTCCGGGCGCTCGAGGAGTTTGGCGAGCTCGTACTCTCCAGTTTCTTGACCGAATTCCGACCTCACAGAGCTGCGCGTGGAATCCACGGAACTCAACGCGTCTAGGCCTTCCTTCCCGTTCACCCGACCGATGGCGTCGACATAGATCTTGATGCGCTTCATGGCGCGCTCAAGTCGCATCTGCAAGGTTGAGCAAGTCATCAAGATGGTCGATCGGCTCAGGTTTTCTTCGAGGAGACGGAGTAGCTTCCACTCGGGATCCAAAGGGAAGTATGTGTTACCACTCTTGTTCAGGAACGAATAGAGGGCGTCGAGAATTTGTTGGACTGCTAGACAGGTTTGAGCGAATTGTTCCAGGTGAAGTCGATTCAGAGCGTAGAGTTTGACGAGATTAGGTCCGATGGGTCCGTAAACGACCAAATCCGCGCGGGTAAACTGGATCTTGAGGATCTTGATTACCCCTTCTTCGAGGGAGTCCCAGAACCACTTGCTGTGCGGGGTTTCCAGGCGAATTATCGCGTCTCGAAGAAGCATTGATTCACCGGAGGAGCGACCGGGCATGAGCAAATCCACTGCTCCTAGACGAGCGAGAGGGTCGTAATCGCGATTGGGGTCGAATGAAGGGTGGTATCGAGCAACAGAGGCAGACAGGGTTTCGTTGTAAACTTCGACAGAACGGCCGAAGGAGACGAAGATATGCCCAGGGTCGCGATTAAGTTTAAGGCCTTGTGAGATGCTTTCACCATCCAGGACGCCTCTCACATGAGGTCTATCCTCGTGAGTAGAGTCGTCGGCGCCCACGGTCGACACGCGCTGAACGGGAGTGTCGCTCGTAGTCTTGGACAAATCGTCAGTGACCAACGGGGCTGGGTTAGCAAGGGAGGCAAGGGATGGAGTCGCCGAGGCAAACTCAACATTCCCCTGCACTCTTCCTTCCGCGTCTTCCCGAATTCTCGTCGCTTCTTCTCCGGCTCTCTGAGCTGATTGAGCAAGCAGAGTGTAGCGGAGCTGTAGCTCCTCGAAACTCATGCCGTCGTTATCCCCTTGGACGGGTCGAGGGGGAAAGTTAGCGACTTCAATGCCCTCGACTTCAGAGATAGGAGAGATATGGGCTGAGGGATTACGCGGCGGCGTATTCAGGCTCGTGGTCGTGCTGAGAGCGTCAGAAGGAGCGCGATAGATCTTGATGCGATAGGCGGGGTTCCCAGCGTCTTCGACTTCGACGGAGGTGGAGGATCGAGCATCAACCTGACGAGGGATCTCAGTTCCTCCAACCCCGGAGTCGTCGACGGGATCCGTTCCTCCCAGTATCTTGGAGGCCTTGCGGGTGCGTCCGTAGGAATCATGCACGTGGGTGGAGGGATAGGTAGCTCCAGCGTTATCCCTCTTCTTCCCCTTGGAAGAAGTTGGGTCGCTCATGGTGGTTAGAATGAAAGAGAGAGGCAAGGGATCGTTCCCTTATGTATCAGGGGAATAGGGGTCCGATAACGCGGACAAACAAGACGAGGAGCATGCGAAGATTTTGATGGTAAGAGAGGGATCGCGCGCCCATTTGATGGACGAGTGAAACGGGGTCGGGAGGATGGTGTGACTGAATATGATCTCCAGTCGTTCAAAAATGGTGTCCTCCCGGGTTTTTGAGTTTTCTTCCGAGGCTGACTCTACGCGCGTAGCGGAGTCCCTCGGGGTCCTTCAAGTGGTGGTAGCATAGCTAAATTCTGAAGCGCTCAACGCTGGAGCGGAGCGCTTCATCGAATTTGCAATTCCTCCGCGTGGTCGTTGATATGGCGATTCCAGGGCGTTCGAGAGGGACGAAGTAATCGCCCCAGACATTACACAGGAGACGCAGTCGGGCTGCGCCCCTTCGCTCTTCAACTTGAACGGGTAGTAGAATTGAATATAATTGCCACGTAGATCTTGAAGTTTTTATCTTGACGACGCGTACGCCTCGTTTGGTGAGGCCCTCGCGGTGGGCTCCACTGTGATACGGCTGCAGAATTATAGGGCCTCTCACGAGGCGTCGTCGTCGTCTTGATGATTATCGTCTAGTTGAGACGATATACGGAAAGGCGAGTTCACGCTATCGCGGAACTCTAACCCGTGACCCTGGCTAAGGAGCCGTTTGACCTTTGGCGAGGCTCTAGTCCAAGAGAGGGGAGCAGTTATACGGATGCTCAGCCCGTTTGAGGTTGTTGCGTCTTGGTCGCACTCCCGACTTATGTTGTCGTGGTTTGCATGGAAGAAGTAATAGATTAGTCAGCATATTCTACTATAAACAAATGTAAATACGCAGACACGCTACTCGATATTTGCAAGGAATATGTATATTAGAACGAATATAATAAGTCCGCGTCACACCGTCAAATGGCCACTGGCAGGTCTTACCACTGCTAATCTCAGTTGAGGGTATTGACCTGATAGCACAATGGTTAGTGCGTCTGCTCTACTTCAGGCATGTTCAGATTACCTAAGCAGAAGATCCCCTGTTCGATTCGGGGTCGGGTCATGCGGAATGTTTGAATCTTTTTTTTCTTTACTTTTCAACTTGTTGGCTTCGAGCTGTTGGCTTGGTGAAGAAAGCGAAACTGAATTTGGGCACGGAAAACTTGAGTGTAAGTAAGCAACATAGCGGTGGAAGAGCACTAGCAAGCAGAACCTGATCGCGAAGTCGAACCCGTCAACGGCTACTGGCAGGTCTGACCACTGATTTTAGTTGAGGATATCGATCTGATAGCACAATGGTTAATGCGTCTGCTCTACTTCAGGCATACGCAGAAGGTCACCCGTTCGATTCGGGGTCGGGTCATGTCGGAATGGTGTTGGATTTTTTTTTACTTTACTTTTTTCTTTACTTTTTACAACTTTTTCGCTTCAAGTTGTCGGCTTGGTGAAGAAACCGCAAACTTGAGTGTAAGCAACATAGCGCAGAGCCTGATCGCCAAGTTGAACCCACTGGCAGGTCTTAGCATTAATCTTAGTCAAGGGTATCGACCTGATAGCATAATGGTTAGTGCGTCTGCTCTACTTAGAATAGGTAAAAAATGTATAAGCAGAAGATCACCCGTTCGATTCGGGGTCAGGTCATTCGGACAGATGGTGAAACTTTTTATTTTCGTCTACTTTTTCGTCTGTCTTTTCGTCTATTTCGGAAACTGAAAGCTTCGTCTATTTCGGAAACTGGAAGCACAACAGCTCATGTCCGAGACAATTCGTAGGATGCGCGGCGGGGTCTTTCCTGGTGGGCGTCCGTAGTACGTGTGCGGCTGTGACTTAGGACTCGCGCGCGCGACGACGACAGGGCAGGACTATGAAGAACGAGACAAATCGAAACGGACTCAGCCAACCGCTGTCGTCGATCGTAAACCGGCGACGTGGGAACGATACGATGGGAGACCGGTATCCAACAAGAGAAGAGAAGTGAGAAAGGAGGAGCGGAACCGGCGAAGGAGGGCAAGAGCGTATAGCGCCCCAGAAAAGCCTTGATGCTTCACACCCAACAGAATCGCACCGAAAACCAATCGCCACCCTCACCCAGCCGGCGGATTGAATAATACAAGGTGTGGGCATGCGCATGTCATATTGCAATGTGATACGATACGAGAAGGGGGGTGTACGCTCAGATCGTCGAGGGGTAGAGCATCTGCGGACAGACGTCACCAAGGGGGTCAGGAGGGACAGAGCAGAGCGACGCACGATGCGGACACTGGCGCCAAACGCGCGGGGGGGGAGGTTTGCGCGGAATTTTGATTTGACGACGCCGGAGCTGCCGTGTGGCCGGGTGACGCGGCTGGGGTCGTGGTGAGAGCTCGCTCGGCAGGGCAGTGGACGTGGACGCACCCCCAGATGACGCGGACCTTTGAGCCCTGAATCTCGCGCTTTGCCTTGTATACGTATGCGACGCGCTTTCCGAGGTAGAACTGCGCGTCCTCCTTTGTTGCGACGCCCTCGATCTGGATGAGGGAGGTGTTGGGGCGGGTGTTGCGCTTAGCCCGTTTGTGGCCCAGCACACGGCCTTTGCTGTACAGTCTACCCAACAAAAGTCAGAACAACGACATCCACAAGTCGGGGCCCGCATCCAGCCCGATTCGCCGTTCCAGCGGAGCGAGAGCAACAGGACGGGGTCCGGCGCGTTATGCTGACCTGGTGGAGCCCATTTTTGTTGAGGAGGGGGTGCGTTTGCGCTGGTCGTGGACGGGACGAGATTTTTGCGTGAGAGGGGATTCAAACTCCGCTTAGCGCCGGCATCAGGACCGGCCCGCGCATCCGGTGCTTATGAACGACGACTACTACAAGCTGCTGGCCGTCCAGCGCAGCGCGTCGCCCAAGGACATCAAGGCCGCGTATCATCGCGCGCTGTTGGCCGCCCATCCCGACAAGAATCCCGACGCCAAGAGCAAGGACATCCACGCGATCCAGCAGGCGTATCGCGTCCTCTCCGACCCTGCCCGCCGCGCGCAACACGATACCGACCGACAGCACATGCCCGCCGCCCCGCGCCCCGCACAGGTCATTTCCCTCGCCGAGTTTGACGAGGTGCCCGAGCACGATCGGTGGACGCACGCGTGTCGGTGCGGCGGGAATTATGCTATTACCGGCGCCGATATGGAGCGCGGGATGCATCTCGTGCCGTGTACGAGTTGTTCAGAGGTGGTGTGGGTGGGGTATGAGCTCGTGGAGGAGTAGCTGCAGCGGCTTTCCGCCGTCTGTCCCTGCGATTCCTTCGCTATCCCGGACTCGGTGCCTCCTGGGATACTCCACCGCTCTGGACTGCGTCTACGGCCACTAGTGCTCTGCTGCCCTGCGCCCTCAAACTATCTCTACGTCGGCTCGCCTGGGTTGGGATGGATGCCTGGCGCGACGCTATCGTCTCCGCGTCTTTACACCTAGCCCCATCGTACCTTTCACCGCTCGGGATACTTAGATGCACCTCCTCCGACGCGCGGGATCTTTACTTCACCTCGGGCCCTGCTACACCGGGGTGCAGATCGTCCTACCTCGATTTCGGGGTATGCACAAACTCACGCGGTTCTCAGTGCTCAGTCTCAATGCTCAGTAGGTTGCTTCGTCGGCGCCGCGGCTTCGTGGAGCCCCTCTTCACCACCACATGTTGGCGCTGTACATGACGCTCTCTGTACACACACATCCATGCATACCCCCGCCCGCCCATGGCCAAATACACATCTATTGGTTGGTGCCCACCGCGTCGTACGCGTCTCGTCTATCTTCTTTCCGCGAATCCCAAAGGCCCTTCCCCCATCCCCGACGCTCCCCCATCGGCAGAAGAAATCCCGCTCCTCACCTACCCACTTACCTGAGCTCGACTTCCAGTCCCACTCCCCCGAATGAGTACCCACCATAGCCACCGCCTGTCTGCCTGTCTGCCTGCCTGTGCGACGCAGGCGTGCCTCCCTCCTCCTTCCCCCATCCTGCGCTCCGAACGCTCAACGCCGTCGCGATCCTGCGCGCTAGCATCGCGACGTACCGAGTCTTGCTTGCGCGTACGTGCGCGGGGCTCCCACTACCGATCATGGTCAGCCTCCCTGCAGAGCAAAGCCTACGGTGGATTCGGCAGCCGGCTTCGCGGCGTTCTGAGGCCTTGCTTCACTTCTGACTTCTTGGTGCGCTGAGCTTCCATCCAAATCGGCGTTCGTTTTTCGCTGCCCGGCTGATGAGGCGGACGGGCGCCCGATGCGAGGAGTACTTGGTCACTGAGGGATACCACCAAGGCACGAGTTTTCGGCGCGCACTTCGGGGGGCGAGCGGCGTGATTCAGAGTGCGGCATGAGTGGACGGGCGGCGCGCCGGTGGGCGATGCGATGCGGATGCGTGCGCATGCCGTGCGTGCGTATGCCGTGCGCCAGTACTTCTGCCTGGCGCGACGCCATCGTCTCCGCATCTTTACACCCAAGTTATCCTAGCCCCATCGTGCACGTCGCCGCTCGGATACTTAAATACGCTTCCTCCGACGCACGGGATCTTTCCTTCACCTTGAGCCCCGCTACAGCGGGATGTAGATCGTCCTACTTCGACTTCGGGGTATCTACACTACAGACTCGCACAGCTCTCAGTGCGCCGCTTCTTCGCCGCCACGCTATACAAACATCCATGCATGCATACCCCCGCCCGCCCATAGCCAAATACGCATCTATTGGTTGGTGTCCACCGCGTCGTACGCGTCTCTCGTCTCTCGTCTATCTTCTTCTTTCTGTGAATTCCAAACGCCCTTCCCCGATCCCCCCATCCGCAGAAGAAATCCTCTCCTCGCCTACCCACTTACCTGAGCTCGGCTGCACAGCCCCACTCCCCCGAATGAGTGCCCACCATGGCCAACGCCTGTCTGCCTGTCTGCCTGTCTGCGCGCGACACAGCCTTGCCTTCCTCCCCCCCCCCCTCCCGCCGCTCCGAACGCTCAACACTCACGGTCCTACGCGCTAGCATCGACATTCGACTCTCGACTATCGCGACGTACCGCGTCTTGCGCATACTTGCGCAGGCGATCATGAGCAATCGGCCTCCCGCGCGTCGAGCCTGCAGAGCGGAGCCTACGGTCGTGTGCGTGCGCATGCCGTGCGCAAGTACTTATGAGTGCGGGATGAGGCAGATGGCAGATGGTGCAGCGCGAGCGGGGAGGCGACAGATGCGAGATGCGAGATGCAGCGCGCATGGGGAGGCGCAGCGAGTTGGGACGTGGGACGTATGCGGGTGAGGTGGATGGACGAGGAACTGATGGGGCAGGTGGCAGATGGGCGTTCGGCGTGTGCGGGTGTGAGGGAGATGGATGCGCAGAAGCAGACCACGCCGGCGCCAGTGGGAGGGACCGGGGGCTAGTGACTTGCGCGACGAGGGTGCCGGCAAGTTCACGGAATATTGTTTATTGTTTACATGTACCAAGGTAAGTAAGTAACATGAAGGCAGAATTCGTCTAGTGCTCCGAGTTCGCGTGAACTGGGAAGGGCGGGGACCACGTTTCGGATTAATGTAAATATCATGGGTCGAGGCAGAAAGCACGATTTGACGCTTGGACATTTGGGCGCATCACTTTCGAGCCGATTGCTGCCGAAAATCTGCTTTTGATCGCAACTGTACCCCTGTTATCGCCACCATGTCCTCGCCATCTGCTACGGAAAAAACATCCACGACGCGCTCGACAATGTGGCATAGCGACGGAAGCGTCATCTTACAGGCCCAGGACACACAATTCCGCGTTCACTGGAGTATTTTGGCACTGAACTCTACGTTCTTTCGAGACTTGCAGGGACTACCCCAGCCGCCGGGGCAGCCTACCATCGATGGCTGCCCCGTCATCGACCTCGCGGGGGACGACGTGGCTGACGTAGAGTACCTTCTGAAGGCGCTTTATTCGCCGTTCGTACATACATACCCCTCGTACAACTTGCGACTCCGCCACTGACTGCGGAAATGCAGGCCGTTTTTGTGCCAGAAGGCGCTCCCCCTCGCAGTTATTGCAGCGCACATCCGGTTGGGACGCAAGTACGACTTTCGCGAAGTGCTCGATTTGGCGGTGGAGCGTCTGTCGTTCGACAATCCGACGACCCTCGCGGAATATGATGCGCTGCCGGCGCCCTACCCGACGCGCATTCTCCCCTACGACGGTATAGAATTTGACATTATAACACTGGCTCGAGAGAACGCCATTATGAGCGTCCTTCCTTGTGCATATTACCATCTGTTGATCTTGCACAAGACTGTGGTGCGCTGCCTTCTCCGAGTCCACGATCGTACGAGCTACCACATGCCAACTTTTCTTTCAGGACAAGCTGTTCGAAGGTGTCCAACGAAGTAATG